CCGATACCTGCTTTACTAAACACTTCCTGGATTTCGGTGCAGTACTTCCCATCACTACCTGTTACCTGCCTGCCAGGTTTCAGCTGCGCCACATTTGGCTGCATGAAGTGCTGTCCTGACATCTCCTGTCATGTGACCCCTGTCACACGCAATCTGATCTGACCCTGACTCCCAGCACTTTCAACACTGCCATGTTTTTTCACCAGACCTGTTTTCTGCCTGCTCCGACTCTCCTCCAGCGTTACCCTTACAGTGTCACTAGTCACCTGAGGGCTATTTTAGAAATGTCTTATTGGTTTTGTTCTTTTTCCTGACAGCTTGTTTTGGTTGACTGTTTTAGTATTTTTAAAAATCATTTACTAAGTCCAGTTTTTGGGGAACAATCATTTGGTTACTACCTTTGTGGGACATATTAATGCCTCCACACTTTCCTTCTGTGGAGAAGTGTTCTAGTCGACCTGGCCAGCTGCGTTGCCGTGGCCTTGTTTTCTCCCTGTGTGGGATTGGTTTTTCAGCCCCCATCTGTAACCCATTAATAAATCACTTAAACCTTTTCAGTGCCTGTGGAGTTGTGCATTTGTGTTCTGAAGGGGAAACCTGACAACCTCTGAATGGAGATATTATAGATTTAATAATAACAGGCCAATGTCTTGTGCTTTTATTGCCATATATGAGAATACAACTATTAAAGCACCTCTATGCTGATGAGGGGAGCAGTCTACCCCAGGATAACAGAGCCCCCATCCACAGGACACCGGGGGTCACTGACTGGTCTGATGAGGATGACCATAATGTGAACGAGATGCTGTGGCCTTCCCAGTCACTGGGTCTCAGCCCAGTTGAACAGCTATGGGAGATGTTGGAGCGATGTGTTAGACAGCATTTCCATGAGGGAACATCTGCTGGAAGAACGGTGTTCATCCCTCCAGGAGAGTTCAGAGACTGGGAGAGTCAAGGTGGAGCTGTTCTGGTGGCGCGTCGCAGCCCATCACCTCACTGAGGCTCTTTGTGCTGGGTCATCCTTTAGTTTGTCATTGTCTGTGCATATTAAATAAACTGCTGTAAACGTGCGTACTATATGTGATTGTACAGGTCTGGTGCACAGAGATTGGTGTTCAGGATTCATTTTAGTATCTTAGCTCCATCAGCTGCTCATTGTGTGATACTGCAGTGTAGAACAGTAAAATAACAGAAACTGCACCTTCATTACTGAGCTTGTGTGTTTTCCACAGTCGTTTCTTGCCTCATTTGGATCATCTCTTGAATTTCAGCATCTGTCTTCTCTATTTCAGTGTGTTTTCAGTCAGCAAACAGCTGGCAGCGGCCACATCAACATGCTGAGAACACATGGGTCAAAAAGTATTAGTTTAAACAAATCAAGCTGTGTTTTTTACTACTAGGGAAGGTGTTTGTAGTTGATATCTGTCGAACGAGATGTAATCTGTGCTGCACACTCTCCATACTTTCCTTACATTCATACATTCTTTCTGGGCCCTCTTCTCACCCCTCCCTTACACACTACCCTTAAAACCTCTGAGGCACCCTGCCATCGTTACACCACCTCTCTGCATCCACAGCTGCGCCACAAGTGAGCCAGTTCTTTCTGTGCAACGTCAGCGCCCTCTGCTGCATACAGAGCAGACTGCAGCTCTAACAGCGTTACCCTATGATGGCTTTCGCTCCTGGTCATCTTTTGTTTTCTAGTCTCTGGTGTAAACCTCGAGACATAATGAATTTGTCTAATGATTTCAAACCATACAACAGAGTTTGTTTTCTAGTCTCTGGTGTAAACCTTGAGACATAATGAATGATTTCAAACCATACAACAGAAGAACTGTTTCATAGTGTTTTAGATTACAGTTAGGAATGAAATCAAAAGTCTGCTGACATTTGTGCATTTTCCCTTTTTAACATAATCTTTACTGAAAACAACATTGTCAGTTCTAAAATGTACAGCTATATTCTCCTGTCTGTGTCTGAAGCCCCCACGTCCAGCTCTCCTCTCCATAGCACCCATGGTTCTAATAATGGAGTAAAAGGATGAAGTGTCAAGCAGGTGGATTAGATTAAACAAAAATGACAATAATGCATTGTAAACACTTTAAAAAATCCTCAAAATTCAGTAAACAAACTTACTTTAATATGAAAATGTATTTCATGGCAACAGTGTGTCACATGTGAATGTATCACAACAAATGTTCAACAACACACAAATCTCAAACAAGTGGTGCCAGTGATAAATGAGGCTTTTCATGTGTTTACACCAAACACTGCAAACATGAGAAGTTGAGCAACGTTTGTTTTTCAGGCACATAAAGTTTAAAATAATTCAGCTTTCATCACTTCAGTCAGACATATCTAACTAGTAACTCCTAAATATAGCTGAGACATTTTGACCACGCTATGTACTGCAAGAGAGATGCTACAACTCCAAACAACATATTGTTTTTAAGGTGCTTTATAAAGTCTTTGTTTTGAAACCTTTTAAACTTGAAGTGCTGTGAAAGCAGCTAAAGTGGCTGGAGCAGGAGGATCTAACTGTGCCCGGTTTACATCCAAGATCCAAAGATCCATCCTGCTTGGTTTATTTAATTCAGGCTAAATAATAGTGGGCCATCATGATATCATCACCATGCGTGTCAGTCCTTCACATTCAGCACTTTTCTTTTAATGTGCAGGTATTGTGCGCAGCTCCATCATGCGGTGACAGTAAACCACAGTGAATTCATGGGATTCAAACACTTGATAATGCACGAGATTAACTGTGCACTGAATCCTCATCGATCGGTGACAGCAGGCTCAGGCAGATGCTTTGCTTTGCAGCCCCAATGATTTTTTAAAAAAAATAACAATGTTTTATCTTTTCATTGGAGGGAAAGATTTGTTTTAATAAAGCACTCCGTTGGTATCCAGGGGGTCTGGTCAATCGTGTCGAGAACACTCAGCTGTGCACGGAGGACCAGCTCGGAGCTGGCCGTGGCCAGACATCGGTTTACTTTGGACTGTTTCGTTGTATGCAACAACATAAAGCAGAACTCATAAATGACATCTCTAATTTGGCCATGGGTTGTACAAGTAAAATTCATAGATGACAATTATGGTAATTAAGTTTTCAGTCAGTTAAACTTATGAAGTGTCAGAGGTGACATGGCAGCTGCACAGAAATACCTACTTCTAGGTCAAACCCCTAAATATTTGACATAATAAATCTATTAGACATGTTTCTGAAAACATTTTGTGAGACAAAAAACGTAGTTTTATGCAAGTGGGTGTTAAACAGAGCACTGATGTGTCCGATAAAACCCAGAGAAAACAAACATGTCATACAGAAAGTTGTAGGTTTGGCGCAGCAGCTGGGATTTGACATGTCAGAGGCAAACACGAGAACTTAGCCGTTTCATACAGAGTTGATGGTAATAACAGCAGCTGTGATGATCCTGACAAGCTGACAGGACTCAGCCCACACTGATCCGTGTCACTTCAGGTGCTCGGTACCCTGGTTCAGAGCCAAACACTATGTTGTTTAGAGGCATTTGAATTAATTTATGGCCTTTTCTTGAAATTTTCCAGCCTTGCATCCACCTGTGCATCTCTTATGTGGCCAAACACTTTCAAACCCACACATCTACATTTTAAATTCTGGTAAAAAATATGATTTGCAAAGATAAAGTCAGAATATAAATGTTCTGCACACACAAATGGAGGGTCCTGACTTTAAACCATCTGAACCTAGTTACTAACTGAACAAAACCATCACTGTCCACTTGTTACAACCAAACCAGGACTGATGTTAGACTTAGTGAAGGTTAAACAGAGGTCATTTATCACTCGTTTTCCTCTGATGTCATACTTTGAAGCTGGACTTCAGTCAGATGGCTTTTCCCAGAATGAGGATGCTCATGAAGAAGACCATGATGAAGAAGAGCCACATGAAAAAGCGATCCATGACCTTTGCCACCTTCCTCCACTCTCCGATGCGCAGCTGTGCGGCCCGCTGGTCCTGGTATGAGTGGGCAATGTACTCAATGTTCTTGCGCAGTCCCTGGTGCTGGCAGACACACTGGGTTTTCACCAGGATCTCCCTCCTGTTCTCGCTGGCTTCACCTCCGACGCCTTTCTTTTCCTTGACATGCTCTCCTCCTCCACAGGCACCGTACGACTCTCCCTGCTCTGCACATCCTCCCGCAGCTTCTTTCTCCTGTGAGTGGTCAATGGTCACAAACAGATCCTCTTTCTGGTCTGTCTGTTGGGCCAAACGCTGCCCCACCAGAGACTCCCCAGTCCTGTCGTCCTCCGCCCTTCCTCCCCATGCTTGCCCATTCACATCCCAGTTTGTTCCACTAAGGTCGCCACTATTGGCTGATGGGGCTTCAGACTCCTCCTTCACCAGAGGTTGTTTCCTGGATGAAGTGTCACAGAGACAGTCCTCCCCGATGTCGTAGATGAAGCAGATACGGGCAAGGTAGTTAAGGATGAAGCGCTGGGCCCAATGTGGGACAGGACGAGCCTCAGAACCACAATGGTGTATGTTCATGATGAAGATGGTGAGTGCTGTTGATGCAGTGACCATTGTCATTGTAGCGATGTAGTACTTCCCTGATGGAAACGGAAATGGTAAAAATAGTAAAAATCAGTGCATATACAATCAAATCATTCATCTTTTAAAAACAAATGTTAGTTTTGGTTCTCTGTCAGCAACCTGGTGACTGTTGGAGAATACAGGGAGTGCTGTGTTTACATATTGGCACTAGTTACACTAGCAACTTAATGGGAAGTGACAGGTTAAGTCTGGGTGAGGAAGTGAAAAAGCAGCACTGCTCTAACAGGATGTTATACAGAGTTTCTTGTATTTAGTCAAACAAGAGCTTTGCACATGTCACACATTTCCCATTATGCTTTTATTTTAGCATGTAGTTCCTGTTTTACTCGTGTTGTCCTGTTGAGAGACATTCTTTTATTATGTGCACTCAGTTGTAATGTGTAGTCGTGCTGCTGTTAATATGAAGTGTGTTGTTTTCACCACGGTGGGGCGCAGTTTTGTGAGCACACCCATTTTTGTTATTAGCGGGAAGGTCTGAGTTCAGTTGAGGTCGTCACACTATGAAGAGTGTAGACGTGTGTTATTCTTCGTCCCAATAAAATATGCTAAGAGAGCTAAAGGATATTATTGCCTCTGTCAAATTCTTCCCCAAGTTCAACGCTGGTGAAGCTGCAAAGCTCAACATGTCCCCTTCTACTTTTACATCCTGCCATGCCACCCTTTGTCCAGTTTCTCGCCGTGCCTCAGCCTCACCTGTCCTGCATCTACATGGCTTCACCATGTCCTCCTGACAATGTTTCCAGCCCGAGGGCCACGACATGTCTGTTATGCTCGTGCTTGCTTTGCCTTTGTTTTTGTTGACCACAAAGTCCATTCACTTTTTGCCTTTTTTGTGTCCACCTTATGCATCAAAGTCAGGATAAAGACTTCAATTTTAGGCTGGATTTTGGTTTGTTAAACCAACTTTGATGGTTGAACATTTGTTGCTGGACACTGTTTTTGTACCCAAGGAACTTTTACTGAAGACTTAGCTAAACTATCATTTGCTTCCTGTCTGGTGCTTTCAACATCTGGCTCCAAATGCAGAATCCTGACAGCATTTCAACTAATATAAATATACACATGCATCATCATAAATATACAAATTGATGTAAATTTGACAACTCATGTTTTTGTAATATGACTGTAATATTGTTATTCTGTCTAAAACTTCCTGCAGTCGTGCCAGGGTAAAACTCAGGTTAAATAAATTGGTTCTTTGACATTGTGTGTTTCCCCCTTTGACAGTCAGATATCAATTTAAACATTAAATAATAAAAACAAAAACAAACAAACAAAAAAAAAACATTCAACTGAAGCCTCACACTGATTCAAGCTTTTTTTGACTTTCATTTCTTTTAAAATGTTTCCATGAGGACACTCCGTCATCTGTAAAATGATTATACATTAAACATACATTAATAATGTAAACTTTTATTAATTCTTATTTCTAATTACATCATTTTGTGATGTTTTGGCAGTTTTCAAGTCAACATATCATTAGATCAACCAACAGTGAGCAATGAGACAAATCAAAAACAATCAAAAACAAATACCCACCATATCCGAGTCTGAGATACGCTGTACGTTCCTACTGTATGCAGACACCAGCAGTTTTACATTTACTTTAGTTAGAAAATAAACCGGTTACGATTCTGCTCATTGTGCGTGTTTTAAACCACCTGTTTTGTGCAGGTTTTGTACAAGTTTAAGTGCAGAAGCCACGAATGTAAAAAAGATCCAAGATATTGCAAAATGATTGACTGAAATGGAAAAACTGTCCTATAGAAAGATGTAATGGAGGCTAATGAGAACAGATTCTTATGCTCCTTGTCCCTGTTGGACCTACATCTTCTTCTACTACAGGCAAAATGTGATGACGGAGCATGTTAGAAGACAAAGCAGGAGGGTCTCAGGAGTCCATAACTTCAGTCCCCATTTCAACCCAGTTACAGGCTCTTAACTAGTTATGTGGTTTTTTTAGACTGGGAATTTTACGGAGTCTTATGTATAACTGCATTACGGTAAACCTAATGTTATGAAAAGGGTAGATGATCAGAGGGAGAGCGTTTCTCCCACCATCATTGTTACAGGGATTGAAGAATGGGTAGAGCCTCTCAGTGAATGGACAGCCAATAAAGGAGTAGATGAGAGCTGCAGCATCAGCATCATAGAAGGAGACCAGACCCCCCTCATAATCCACAAACACCCCCACCTTTCCAGGCTTTGACTTCAGAGATAGATGGACTCGAGGGTCAGAAAGAGCTTTGTACTCATTGTTGGTCCTCAAAGACAGGGTCCAGTAACCGGCCGTAGGATTAATTGTGATTGGCCCTTTCCTGTTGATCGACTCTCGTACCACTCCTAAATCCCACTTAGTTTTCCCTTTAACCTGAACCTCATAGTAAAATCTTCCTGAAGTAAAACTTTGCTTTCCCAAAACACTGGCATAATAAGAAAATCTCTTTGGATTGTCTGAGAGATTCTTATTTTCATCACCAAACTTCACTTGTTTTCCATCATCAGGCAGGGTGAGCCAGGGATTTGCTGTATCAGGCTCCAGTGTCACATCCACCGCATTGTGCTGGACCCTCTTCAGCTCCTCCTCAAAGACCTTGTTCATCTCTTTACGGAGCGTCTCCTCAAGCTCAGCCACAGCTCTCACTACAGTCCCCTCGTATGTTGGAGGATGGACTCTGACCTCTGTCCAGTCCTTGGTGGGTGGAGGAGTGTTCAGGGATGTGAAACTTTGGAGGAAGTGCAGGTAGTCTTCAGAGTGTGACAGCTTCTCTCAGCTTGTCGCTTCTCTTCATCAGGTCTGAGATTTCTCGTTCCAGCTCTGTGATCAAGCTTGTAGCCTGCGTTTCTATGGGTATCTGCATCTCTTTGATTGTGTGAAGCAGTTCAGCCAGGCCTCTGTCGACAAACTCCTTTAGCGCAGTGAAAACCTGCAAACCCACTGCTCTTTCTCTGTTTGCATTGCCGTTACTGAACTCTACCGAGTCTGTGATCTCCAGAATCTTTTCTCGTCTCCTCTGAATCATCTGCTGAATTTCAGCCTCCGTCTTCCCCAACTCTGCCTTTTTTTCTTCGCATTCTTTTTTCAAAGGAACAACATCATGCAGCCTGTGCTCTGAAACCATGCAGAGCATGCAGACACACAACTGATCATTCTTGCAGAACAGGTCTAGAGGTTTGTCATGATTCACACAAATCCTGCCTTGCAGATTTTCCACAGAATTGATTAGCTGATGCTTTTTCAGACCTGTGACTGTCAGATGAGGCTCCAGGTGAGTCTTGCAGTCGGAGGCCAGACACACCAGGCAGGACTTCCCTGCCTTCAGTTTGGTTCCAGCGCAGATGTCACAGGAAATGTCTTCTGATCGAGCACATTGTGGCTCTAATTGCTGCTGCTGGCTTCCTCTAGAATCGACTCTCTGAACTGAGCAGCCATCTGGGAGATCAAAGTGTTGACTCGCAGCTCAGGTCTCATGTAGAAAATCTCTTTACACACAGGACACTGGCAAGGGGAAGTTAATATCCCAGTTTTTAGTGATGCAGGTCTTGCAGAAATTGTGTCCACATGGCATGGCGACTGGATTAGTGAACACATCCAGACAGATGGAGCACAGAAACTGGTCTTCAGTCAGCAGACAGCTGGCAGCAGCCATATCGACACACTGAGGAAGAAAATATCAGAGGGTGAACAACTAAACTGGAGTCATTTGCTTAAATCTGAACTTGCATCCTCTAATAGTCAGGAAGACAAAATTATTGTTGCCTTTTTGTTCTTTAAGTAAAGCTTAATTTGACAAGTGCCAAAAGAAGTGGAACCTGCTGCCTGAGCCCGGTACATGTTAACGTTACTAGCTGATGTACTCACCAGTGTTTGGCCGAAGTTCTCCTGTGATGTTAAGAAGCTCCTGATGAACTGACGCACTTAGTTTGTCATGAAGAACTGAGACTCGACTGCAGCTCTGCTGTCCACCTGACAAACTGTCCTGTCATTCAACTGTTGCTTGGCTCTTACAGGAACACGTTTTTGTTGCATTTCTGGTTTGACCGTGATCAGACAGATAAACATTTGATTCAATCTGGAGCAAAGTGTGTACATTTCTTCTTCTTGCAATATTAAACTGTTACCTATAAGACAGACAGGCCAAGATATATACATGTTTGGGGCAGTAAGCCACAACAAACTTATAACCAGTTTGTGGTAAACTGTCATTATCAAGGTACAAAGGGTTTGTACCTGACTGCCAGCAACAAAACCAAAGGATCCTCAGGAATCTGGCGGTGTGAAATGAGAACCTGGTGTAAGTGTTGCGTCCCTGCATTAATCATAATGAGACTTGACGTTCCAGTTCCAAAAAAATTTGTTCCAGCCCTTTCACACATTTAACAGTCCCTACATTTTATCTTTAATAAACCCTGTGACCACCACCTGATTGACTTAGAAACCCTATGAAAATACTTCTCTTAATATTTTCTTAACAAGCAAGCGACTGTAGGAAAATTAAACTCAGGCACTCCTCAGTCTTCCCACCTATCAGTGGGACACTCTCAGAGGGCGGCATGCTCTCGGCGACCAGCAGCTGAAATACGGTGAGCGCCAGCAGCACCGTGACACCCAGAGAAACTTTTTCCCCTGAGTCAGCTGGCAGGTAGAAGCCCAGTGGAGCCAGAAAGGAGATCATCATGCACGGGATGAGCAGGTTGAAGATGTAGAAAGAGGCACGTCTCTTCAGGTGGAGAGTGAAGGTGATGTCTGGGTAGGGATCTGAACAGCAGCCATACAGGATAACATTCTTCTTGGCTGGCATGCCCAGAACCTGGTTGGAAAAATGATTCGATTTTGTCAAAGAAACTAATTCAGAGTTCATGTGTTCTTACCACAAGAACAAGGTTCATGTGACTCACCTCCCACTCTACATTAGGGACAAAGTCAGCTAGGTCAGCACTGTCCAAGGCATTGAACAGGTCCATCTGGTTCCCGTTGTGAGTCCAGGAACCAAATGTTAGGTGACACTGCTGCATGTCAAAGGGGAAGAAGGCCACATCCACAGAACAGGAGCTTTTGGTGATCGCTGGCTGGTCCCACATCACTTGGCCATCGTTACGCAGAACCACATTGGTCTCCATGGCACTGGAGAACTGGTCATCTGCACTGTGGTGGAGAAAGTGGAAGAATATGAAGGGAGATAGAAGGAAGACAAGTTTGGGTGCATCAGAAGTTAAAATCCAAAGTACAAAGAAAGCTTAATCTTCTTTAGCTTAGCACAGGGGGAAGGAAGTCATAAGTCAGTGTCCTGCAACTGGGCAGATCAGACCTAGCTGAATAAACCTTTGTGAAGTTAGGCCTACATTGCACTACCTGCAGTAATTTTTACAGTGCCTTGCGAAAGTATTCGGCCCCCTTGAACTTTGCGACCTTTTGCCACATTTCAGGCTTCAAACATAAAGATATAAAACTGTAATTTTTTGTGAAGAATCAACAACAAGTGGGACACAATCATGAAGTGGAACGAAATTTATTGGATATTTCAAACTTTTTTAACAAATAAAAAACTGAATAATTGGGCGTGCAAAATTATTCAGCCCCTTTACTTTCAGTGCAGCAAACTCTCTCCAGAAGTTCAGTGAGGATCTCTGAATGATCCAATGTTGACCTAAATGACTAATGATGATAAATAGAATCCACCTGTGTGTAATCAAGTCTCCGTATAAATGCACCTGCACTGTGATAGTCTCAGAGGTCTGTTTAAAGCGCAGAGAGCATCATGAAGAACAAGGAACACACCAGGCAGGTCCGAGATACTGTTGTGGAGAAGTTTAAAGCCGGATTTGGATACAAAAAGATTTCCCAAGCTTTAAACATCTCAAGGAGCACTGTGCAAGTGATAATATTGAAATGGAAGGAGTATCAGACCACTGCAAATCTACCAAGACCTGGCCGTCCCTCTAAACTTTCAGCTCATACAAGGAGAAGACTGATCAGAGATGCAGCCAAGAGGCCCATGATCACTCTGGATGAACTGCAGAGATCTACAGCTGAGGTGGGAGACTCTGTCCATAGGACAACAATCAGTCGTATACTGCACAAATCTGGCCTTTATGGAAGAGTGGCAAGAAGAAAGCCATTTCTTAAAGATATCCATAAAAAGTGTCGTTTAAAGTTTGCCACAAGCCACCTGGGAGACGCACCAAACATGTGGAAGAAGGTGCTCTGGTCAGATGAAACCAAAATCGAACTTTTTGGCAACAATGCAAAACGTTATGTTTGGCGTAAAAGCAACACAGCTCATCACCCTGAACACACCATCCCCATTGTCAAACATGGTGGTGGCAGCATCCTGGTTTGGGCCTGCTTTTCTTCAGCAGGGACAGGGAAGATGGTTAAAATTGATGGGAAGATGGATGGAGCCAAATACAGGACCATTCTGGAAGGAAACCTGATGGAGTCTGCAAAAGACCTGAGACTGGGATGGAGATTTGTCTTCCAACAAGACAATGATCCAAAACATAAGGCAAAATCTACAATGGAATGGTTCACAAATAAACATATCCAGGTGTTAGAATGGCCAAGTCAAAGTCCAGACCTGAATCCACTCGAGAATCTGTGGAAAGAACTGAAAACTGCTGTTCACAAATGCTCTCCATCCAACCTCACTGAGCTCGAGCTGTTTTGCAAGGAGGCATGGGCAAAAATTTCAGTCTCTCGATGTGCAAAACTGATAGAGACATACCCCAAGTGACTTACAGCTGTAATCGCAGCAAAAGGTGGCGCTACCAAGTATTAACTTAAGGGGGCTGAATAATTTTGCACGCCCAATTTTTCAGTTTTTTTATTTGTTAAAAAAGTTTGAAATATCCAATAAATTTCGTTCCACTTCATGATTGTGTCCCACTTGTTGTTGATTCTTCACAAAAAATTACAGTTTTATATCTTTATGTTTGAAGCCTGAAATGTGGCAAAAGGTCGCAAAGTTCAAGGGGGCCGAATACTTTTGCAAGGCACTGTACCTGTTATACAGGACGATGTCAGGCCTCCAAACGTAGCTGCTGGGTATGCGGATTGTGCCAAGGCCATCATAGTCCTCCTTTTTCCAGGAGAGGTAGGCATCCATCCACACCTGGCGAACCCACAGGTAGGTAGTCAGTATCTGGTTTCGCTCATCCTGGTGAAAGGACACAGATACATCAGCTCAGGCATGAACACACACAGAGTAACATCTGGATTGCCAGTGGTTACCATGTCAATGATCTGGGAGAGAGTGATCTGCAGTGTGACATTGATGATGTGTTCGGTGTCCTCCACTGGCCGCAGAGCGTTGGTGTAGTTGGAGAACAAGTCCTTCAGCAGCTTCTGGGCGTAGCGGCCATGAGCAGACCAACAAGCTGTGGAACACAATGAGACAGAGCAGCATCTTTATATTAAAGCTGGCAGTTATTCCTGTTAATGCTTTTTGAAACCAAAGAGACAGGACATGATGTCGGTCAATCCAACACTCAGGAGCAGTTCTACTAAATATCCTGATATAGTCCACACAACTTGCTCCCAAAGAATTAGCTCTTCAGATCTTAATTACCCCTTGACCTTACTCTAGTGCCACCATCAAACTTGATACTTGTAGCTCCACTACTACTATGTAGTTCAATTTGTTCAGCAGCAACAGCAGCTGCAGCTACAGCTACATCTGGCTAATTTCACTCACCTGTTGCTTGTTGACTCCACCCCATTTAAGCTGCTCTGTTTCCTGCTGCTAGTCTCACTCACCCCTCTGCAGTGTTGGCTGGCTGGTCGGTCCTTGCCCCTGCTTCTTTCCTGACTGCTAATCACATCTGGACTCTGTTCTGTCTTCTGACTTTGCCTCTTTTGTTTTGTGACTGAACTTTGTTAATTTTTGTTCATCTGCTGAACAGACTGTATTTGTGCATGGTTTTTGTAGTGCTCTCATATACTTCAGACTTAGTTTTTTTCCCCACTAAGGAGTAATATTTTTACCTACCTGTACCAGCCACTTGGCTGTAATCTTTTGTGTGTTTTTAGTATGAAACATGGTCTGTTATTGGGTTTTTGTTGTTACCTACCTGCTGTACTTGCCCTCGTCTTACCTTCTGGAACTGCCATTTCCCAGTCACGCTGCCACATAGGGCCAGTCCTGTGGACAGAAACCTACCCATCTTCTTGTGTTTGGCAGTCTGCTCTCACCTGCTGTGTGTATTCCAGTGTCTGTTCACTGTGGGTCTCATCACCTGTATAATTTCCTCCTCCAGTAGCAGTTTGGGGTCGTGTATGTCGGTATAACAACCTCGGTCCTCCATCAGTCCACTCCATTCTCCTGCAAGGGTGACAGAATGTGACTGTTGCTCGCTCACCTGCAGTGATCCTGCTGCCACAGTCGGCCTACCTGACTTGTCAGCTGCACCACTTACCAGTTTTGTCCTCTGTTGCAAACTTCTATTAAACTGTTAAACTACTCTCCAGACTGCATTTGGGTCCTCCCTTGAACAGTTATCGAACAGCTGCTGGAAGCTTTGGGATCAGTTTCTTGTTAAGAATAAAAATATTTTAAGTAAACTTGAGTACTGTTTGTGTAATCTGTATGAAAACTGTTTAATTAACCAAACTTTAATTTTTAAATGTCAAATGTTAATCTCATCATTTTGAATATGAGGTTGGAAGTGCATAGAGTCCCTTTGACTTAACCCTGAAACATTTCTCCGGCTTTACATCCTGGTGCTCGGTCCATCCCAGAGAATTTCTGAACACGAACATACATCATTCAAACGTGCGAGCTGTGTTTCCCCAGTCCAATTAACCTGGTAATCACCTCAGGTTTTACACATCAGATGAACGTCAGTGGAAAAGCAGCTTGCTGATAAATCATGTCACGTCTACAGATGATGGGGTGATGAGTCGAAGGACGCCAAGTCCAGAGTTTTTGCAAGATCTGTCCTCCACACCCACTAAAATCTAAACTTGGATTTGTTTCATTTTCCGAAGGAGAATGAATGATGTGGATCAGTGCTACATTTCTTTTTATATGAGATTTTATACACAACACCTTCTCAGCATCACAAAAATAACATACAAAAACATTTAAATGAGGTTTACAATAGTTAACCTTTCATTTCCAAGTTCACTTTTTCATTCTTTACCATCTACTTCTGTGACTTTACATGTGAACTACTGAGCGCAGCGCCGTGAATGTTTTAAGGGGTGACAGCAGAAAATGCATCATTATCACAGACTTCTCAGCTCACCTTTGAGAGTTGGTATTCAGAATAGGTATAAGTCACTTTAAAAGTGTTGGGGACAAGGCTTTGTGCAAATTAGTTTGATTCAAATATACACAACCTTAAAAGATGTCAATGAAATTGACTGCAGATATTCATAGTACCCACAGCAAGAATCCTAATGATTTTTAGATGCAGCCTAGGTGGCACCTAAACTAGAGCTTGCACTGAAGAAATCTAAAGACACCCATAGTACTTTATCACATCTTTATAGGGAGGGGGATTTGGCAAACAGCTGATGTTAAAATTGAGATGACTACTGAGGTTCAGCATCCACAAAAATCTGATGAACGCTGGAAACAGAAAACCTTTGCATAAAGACTGATGACATGAGATATGAAGAGCAGAGTTATGTTTTAGGTCGCTGTTCTCCATAGTTCATGACGTAAACAGTCTGAGCAGATAAAACTGAAGCTCTTACCCATCAGGCTGTCGGCAGCCAACAAACCTTCCAGTGACCATATAAGTAGGTAGTGAAACAGTTCGATCCAGTACACTCCAGTTGTGTACAAGATCTGCTAATGACAAAGGCTTTACCATCAGGTGCAGCCAGGGAATGGGGTGTAGTTGCCAGAGGAACATCCTGTAAGGTCACCAACCTGCTGTGCACTCCTCTGGGATGCTGCAGTGACATTTTTAAATAGCTACGCCTGGATTTATGCAGTGTTATGTATAAATGTTTACACACAATGTTCTTCATTTTAGACCTACAGTCTGATGGACAATTATATGAGACATAAGGCAGAAAATAAAACAAGCTGATGTCAGATATTTGTGATGCACAAAAAAAAAAAAAAAAAAAAAAATCACTAAATAAAGAAAATGGTTTAGGTGACTAAGATGCTACTGGAATCTGCTGTTTAGTTGCACTCAGTGATAGAACCTGTTCTTCTGCACTTTTAAACAAAAAAACTAAAGACTAACCAAACTAATAAGACAAAACAAAAATGTTAAGTTTCAGGCAAGGAAGGACCCAAAATGCAGATATGGTCTAGATCTAGTGTTTATTCAGTTAAATATAAATGAAGAGGAACAAAGGGGCAAACAGATGCTCAACCTGATAGTACTTCACAATACAGGAACAAAACTAATTTCTAAACAGAATGGTCAGGGAGCTACATGAAACAGACTCAAAATAACTAAAACAAACCTGGAGAACTAACCAAGAATCTTGCTGACAGGAAAAAAAAAAATCAAAAGAACAGTCCAAAAGGCACCGAGACAATTGATACAAAAACTTAAATCAGACAGGCAGGGTGTGGTACACAGAGAAATGGATGACAGAGTAATGAGAGATGTAGAACAGATAAGCAAACAACAAGACTGAGGGAAGGGAGGAGGATATATACACAAGAGGGCAGAGGATAATGAGGGACAGGTGAATGCAATGAGTTGGTTGCAGACAGAGTAAAGCTGGGGCAGGTGAGGTAACACAGGACAGGAAACTAACCCAAATAAAAGCACCAAACAGGAAGCAAGTCCACAAACCCCAACACCAAAACACAAACTGCGGCCTCAGAGCTGACTGTCAAGTTCACCTGTGTATCTACCTTAGTAACTTTCACTGCCAGACAATCTTTTCTGTTAGTTTGACAGCTGTAATGGATCAGCGCTCAACCTTTAGAGCTTATAGATGTGTGGATGTGAGTTTTGAGCTGGAACCATGAAGCCAGGTTGTTTAATTTCAAGTATTTTGTTGAGTTTTTACTTTGAAAAACTGTTACTGTGATTTTGGAGACAACAACAGTGATCCAACATACAGTATATCCACAGGAAATGCTTCTGTGTTTGCAGCTCTGAACACTCATCAACAGGGGCAAAGTGCTTCAGAGGAGACACACACACACACACACACACACACACACACACACACACACATAGACAGAGGTTTAACAACATGCCTTGCACAAAAAAGGAAGTGCACAAGCGCACGGTCAGTTCAATGACCTTCAGATAACAAGGAAGTAATATACCACTGAATTCTAACATGACAGTAGAGCCACAGACAGAGACAGGGTTTGAGCGTTACCATCCTTGTCCAAACATGGAAATGTGGACATCAAGTTCTGAAGCTGTCTGAGTGGTCGAGATGGTCCAGTTCTCCCCAGCTCTGCTTGTCTGTTTCAGGCTCATGTTCAGGCTTATTTTATTTATTTGGAAACACACAAATATAGAGCTATAAAGATGATCCTGGGTTTTTTTCTTATTATAAAAAATTTCAGTGTGTTTGTCGACACTTTCTGAATCCCCAGCTCTCTGCTGGTGTTCAGCATATGAACAAAATTTGTTTATGACACACTGGAACACCAACTAGACCCCAGAACCTCCTCGGTGGCTACAAGAATCCCCAGAGAACCTCATCAATGACACATAGAACCTATTAAACACCTAAGGAACCACATAAAGAGCTCCTTCAGCCTCCTCAGTGGCCACTAGAACCTCCTAAAGGACCATAAGAGTGGATGACAGTGCGAACACACTGGTCCATAATCTCCCGCTGATATGTACAGTAATATAAAAACACTCAAATGTCTTTAAGACCCACTGGAACTGCTTACTAGTCCCCTAAAAACCCATATGTTTTGCTATAAGAACCATCTAAAGAACCCAGTGGACCTCCTCAGTGATGACTAAAACCTGGCAACATGTAAAGGTCCTCTATACCACAACAACCCCCTCAGTGGTTACAGGAATCTCTTCACCAACAACGTAAACCTCCTAAAGAAAAACTAGCTAGAAAACCAAATGCTAGAAACTCATTGGTGGCCACAAGAACCACTTGATAGACCATGAGAAGCTTTTTAAGGAACTCAAGAAGCTCCTCGGTGGCCACAAGTGTCTCTTCACTGACAGTAAGGAACTCTTACAGAAACATCAAAAATTCATTTCTAAATAATGTACAGATGGTGAATATGTGAAAGGAAAACTCAAAATGCGTCGATTGAGTTCAGTTCACTTGGTTTTGGGGGCAGTCAGGGCAGGCTTGAAAGCACAAATACACAACTGATTCATTTGGATACAGAATGGTTTAAAAATGAATACCTAACTATAGATACACAAAGCTGAGAATACTTGTGTTGTTTTCTGCTGACATTCAGTGAACAACAGTTTGCCTTGGAGCTTCTTTGGGGGCTGTCTAGACAAAAAGTTGTGACCACCTTTGGCGGGCCATGGTGGCCAAGTGGAAAGGCTTTGGAGTAACAGCACCGGTCAGAGGTTTTGAGGTTGTAGGTCTGAGCCTGATGCAAATTCTTCTGATTGGATGTTCAACACCCAGAGCAAAGACTAAGTGTTGCTGGTAGCTCTGAGAGTCAGAGTCTGACGGCTTTAGGGTTGTGGGCTTTTCCCCTGGGTTCAGTTATGATGTCCAAAAGAAAGTGTCAGCCTTTCTAAGAAATAGAGCTTAAGTATCCATGTTCAAATGTCTCAGGAAATAAGAAGACTTCTCCGGGCATTTGAGGTCTTGGACTGCTGGTCAAACAAAACAAGCTATTTCCATGCAGCTCTGGGCATCTTCACTATTGTTGGACATTTTATTGTTCCAGCAATGAATCAAGTATTCAAGAAAGTAATGCAATTTGACTGATAAAAGAACTAGACTTTAGTCGTGTCCTGTTGAAAAATACAGATATGAATTTGACTTCTGATGTGTTTTAAAGGCAAAATTATAAGTCATGACAATGTATTGGCTCCCAAGTGCGATGCAGATGAAGTTTCCAGCAACATTCAGGGTATCATAAATTTTACATTCAGATGCTGCAAAACAACACATAGGCTGATGTGTTTAATCCTGAGTCTGCACTGCGCTCTTCATCATATTTCCAGTTTAAACCTCCAGCTTTTATCAGCCAGGAGGCTGTGGTAACATCAGTGTCCAAAACACACTTGAGCATGTGGAAAGAAACAATAGTGGAAAAACAAATGACCATAACATCTTCCTTTCAAATCTCTGAATAACTGAAGGATTAAATAAAAATACATACAAAGAGGCTCATTAAGTCTTTACCTGAAAAGTAGCAGAAGTGAAGCTGTAAATGTTCTCACCTGGGAGGAAGACGAGCAGCAGGAGAAGGACAGTTGGTCCACTGCAGAGAAGCTTCATCCCGCTCTGATAACTGTTACTGATCCGATAAATAATGGTAAACAAAAATAGATTACAGTGGTGTGATCAGCCAGACTCGGTCCAACGAGCAGACAGAATGAAACACACTGAGAGAGAGAGAGAGAGGGAGAGAGAGAGAGCAGCTGCTAATGCAGGTCAGTGCATTTGCTGTAGTGCGGTGGTCGCTGATCTATGGGGGGTCATTAGTGCCGTACTCAGGCTGGAGACGACAAACCATGTTGGTGGGAAAATATTTGAGCCCTGACAGGGCCTAAAAGGCTCTAATGAGCTTTATGATAGTTTATTAATTAATAGCTTATTAGCTTATTAATTGATTACATGACCAATATTGGTTCAAATTAAACCTGCAATAATAGATTTTTTGTCCATTTGGAGACGGTGGAACAAAGCTGCAGACACAACATTGAAATATTATGCAGACAAAATAAATACATACAAAATGTTTTAAAACATAGCCATAAAACCTAAAGGTGTCACAGTCACACATGGTTTAGTAGGAGATTTGCCATTAATTACAGTCCATATCTACAGCTGCTCCCTACAGTACATGGTGCTTACAATGGAAAGAAGCCAGGTAAAGAAAAATTAAGTGCTAATAAGCAAATGTTAGCATGCTAACATGTATAACTATAATGTTAACACTGTCATGTTAGCCTTTAGGTCAAAGGTCAGACAAAAAATCAGCCCTGCACAACAACAACACCAGAGGTTTCACTGGCACAGCTGTGTTTCTTTAAGGTCCTGGTTAGAAATGGAATGGAAATTTTAAAGCCCAGTCTGAGAAACATCTGTAAATCTAAAGGCTTCCAATTGCCAAAACAGTTCACAGTGGTTTGTAATACTTTGAGATGGGATTGCACAACTTTGGACAGCATAGTGTAGCGGCCACTCTTTTATTTGCCGTTGTATGGGACAATGGGATCTATACTATTCAGCTTTATAAACCAACAGCAGCATGTTAAAGTCAGTTCTCTGACACAGAGGAAGCCAGAGATGTGCTCCAGACAAACAGGGATACTTCAGGCTTCGCAGCCGTTTTTTCTTTTCAGAAAGCTTTTGTTGAGTGAACCTGAAGGTGACTGAAGGTTAATTAAGCTGGGGCACTGCTGTTGGCCAATTCTTCAATCCCTCCTGGAAATAAAAGTAAAAGCCCTCCAGGTGGGCTGGGGGCCAGAGCTGCACTGGAGCGCCAACAGAAGCCAGTCATGGAGCCAAACACACACAGAGACAGGGAGGAAGTGTTTAGCTCAAATTAAACAAGCTCTGATGCATTTGCTTGTTTGGTTTCACTTGGTGTGAAAGCTGTCATTCAGGCTAAACAAAAGTGTAAATGGTGAATTGGACATGAGGTGGCTTTCCCTTAGTGTGATTTGTTTTGGCAGATCTGAACACAGTAATCGATCTCGAGCAACGTGACAGCTCACTGCAAACACTTCTGGCATGTTAGGTGGATCACACTGCTTTGTGTACAATTCAGTTTGTTTTAATAGGTTATTTGATGATATAAAAAGAGGCATGTTTCAGATGATTAACAGCTTTGACTGGTGTTCTGGTGCTGTGAGCCAACGATGAATAGAATGAGAAACACTGGCGCCAGAACACAGCCATGTAGAAGGCCCCCCACCCGCCAGTCTTTGTGCTCATTTTGCATCTCGTTTTAATCATTTTTTGTCTATACTTGGTTGTGGTCACTTGTTTTACAGCTCTTTTTGGCTGTTTATCATTTCTTTTCAGTTATTTTGCTTCTCACTTCAGTCATTTTGCATCTTTGTGGTTATTTTTTGTTTATTTTCACTTATTTTTCTCTATAAGATTTTGCATGTCCTTATACTCATTTTGCATCTCTTTGTGGCTGTTTTGCATAGTTTTTTTTAATTCATTTTGTGTATATTTGTTGTTAATTGACTTTCCAGAGGCTATCGCCCTGTTCAGTAATACATCCACCTCAGTTTGACCCAACTGCAAAACTGAGCTAACTGGCTCTTGTAGCCAGGTGCGCTTTGCATGCTGGGATGTGAATGACCAAAGGCACAGTTTCTGGCAGCTGCAGTAACTGGAGTTCAAGGCAGAGACAGTTTTTTACATTTTAAAACTCTGAACCTGACGAATTCAGCTTGTTGTGCCTCAGTTTCAACTTGGTAAAACAGACTATTTTCAAATGCAGTTCCAGATCTTTTCAAATGAATGTGAAACACGAGTTCAGGTTTAACAAAAGTACCCACTTGCAGGTAAAATCCACATAAACGGTTACTTTTTCTTCTTTTCTTTCTTCATTGTTTTGCTTGTCTAATTAATATAATGGATTTCAGATTTATTGTTTCTGACTAACAAATTACTTTTGGGTCTGGCTGACACTGAAACTTGTGCAGCAGATCAAACTTTAATGAATGCAGCCTGCAGGCCAAATGTTTTCAGACTCCTTCTCTTGTCTGGTGAGTTATTACCGTACCACAGTGCTTTCATAACATTTTTCCCTTCTTGGCACCACTGATTTCTCTTTATCGCAGACATATGTCTGTTTTGTGTCCACAGGAAAGTGGGAAGGGAGTGAACACTTAATTAATTTACTAATACCTGCCTGGAGCTGAAGTCCCAGAAGATACCAACAGGGTTCAGACTGCCCAAATATTCAATCTGAAAATGTTTCTGTTCTGAAAGAGACAATGAAAATCAAATGTCCAGTGACGGTGGCCAGCAACTAATCCCCCTTAGTGAAGGTGATGATGTTCAGTCTGTGTTCAGACTGTTTCACAGAGGTGCTGATTCACCTGTGTGGTCACTATAGAAGCTGTGTTTGTGCTGTGTTATACAAACAGTATATGTATAAAAAGTGTTACTCATGGGAGTAAAAAACCAAACAAAACAATCAAAAGTTTACAAATAAAGAGGATGGTGAGTCATCCTCAGTGGTAAATGTTAGTGTTACTTCATAAATACTCAGTCTATCAGTAACAATAACAATAATTTAGACATAATAGTGTCTTCTTTGTTTTGCTCAATTATTTGTCCTGTTTTAATGAAATTGTGTGAAGTAGTGATGTTAGTTTTTCCTACACGA